TGTATTTGGCACCAACATTTTGTTTAGAGAAGTGCAGTAGTTTCGTAATCATCAGAGTGGAAGATCTGAGTCAGGGTCCATCATCAAGAAATGCCAGCAATGAGAACAGTTGATTAACAAGAAGGGAAAAATCAAATTACTCACAAGCTTGAGAAACATTCTATGCTCTTTTATGAAAGATGGTTCCCATTCACCCTAGCCTAATGCCTGGGGGTTATCAGATAATGGAAGTGGAAATCAAGGTACTGAATCTAGAACTGGAAACTAACTGCATTTGCTCTAGTAGATAAATACATTACTAACTCTTGGCACCAACCACTTCTGAAGGCAAAATATCCCCATCTTTAAAAACATCCTGTAGTGGTTTTGTTTACCTAAATAATAGCTTTGTACAAATCAAAGTGACAAGTTTAATACTTTCAAGAAGCTGACCTATTGAATCTTTCTCTTTTGAATTCCCAAAACAAACTTAAGATAACCTCTTGTTATATAATGTGTTTGAAATGAACTAGGAAATTATTATCATTTTTTCTCTGAACAAGCTGTACTTTCTGGAAATACTGAGGATACAGCATGATAAAAAATTACTACAGACAACAGACAAGACAGGAAAAAAATTTCATTAGTTTAGTTTAAAAAGCTTCGCTGTGGCTACACGTTGGAACTATATTTTCAGAATAGAGAAAGTTGGCACATTTCAGCTGTAAAGAACTGGAGCACCTAGTCTAAAATGCTGGTAAGCTTTTAGGAAATGTTTAAAAAACTATTTATGCAGTCACACCTGGATAAGACTAATATGAAGTTGGTGGAAAAAAACGGAGTTACAAAACCTTTTTACTGGTTATCAGATATTAACAAGAACAAATTGATATTAGTAGTCAAAATAAATAATCATAAATGAAGTGAAAGGAAATGTCACTAAGACACCATACTGAAGAGAGATAATATAAATAAAAAATAAATAGCCTAGAGGGAGAGAGACACATCTTAAATAATTACCATAAGAAGAAAAATAAGTCATCTCCCCAGAACAAGCATCTGAAACAAACCTTTTCTAAATAAAAATGTTCCTTCTCTTTCCTGCATTTGCACACAAAGTAAATATGAACTACCCTTATTGTAATCCTCTCCTTTCCTCTCACCCTAAGGCCTCACTCTTTCTCTCACGCCAAATTCATTTTCACTTCCACTTAAACTTACTTTTATTCTCACTTCCCTTTTCTTTCTTCGTCTGGCATTCTTTCTTCCACTTACCCATTAATTCACTCTATAACACTCCAACTCAGTATCACATTAACTCTCTTTCAAATAAATAATATAAAATTAGGGTAAGAGCATTTTTCCACAAGAGATGCATTGCTTTTACCATAAAAATTCTAAGCCTACATCATCACTCAAGTGCATAGTCAGTCTAAAATTATCTCACCCTAATGTAAGCTAATGTATTCCAATTCATAAAAGAAACAAAAAAGGAAAAAAATCACAAGCCCACACTTATACCAACCATTAAACCTAGGTATAGGTCCATGCAAGGGGTATCATCACTGAACTTAAAAACTGACCTATGACTAGTAAAACAACAGATAATGGATATAACAGCCGCTATGCTATATCTTTATGACTGGATGATTTCCATTCTTTAGGGCTTTACAGCAAAGTATGTTTTCACAAAATTATAAAACAGATTTCATATGAATTCAACCAAGATTTTTCTTCTTTCTGAAAACAGAGAGCAAACACTGCACATAAAATGTTTTTGTGCATGCAAGAAATTGAAATCTTCAACATATACATCTTTCAACACAGTCTGTTAGGATTGCACAACAAATACTGTACATAGAAATGAATTTCTAGAATACAAGCAAATAAAAACAAATGAGTAAATAAAAGATATAAACTAAGACCAGTGACAATAAGGATAATGGTGGAAATAATGGCAACTATAAAGCATATTAAATTTTCCATCATCAAGGAAAACTCTCATCTCTCTACTCTACGGAATAAAAAAAAAACAAAATTCAAGTTATCTCTGTACTCCTGTTTGGTTCTAACCTCATCACAGCTACTTTTGGCCTATGCAGCATTCTTACATATCAAAAGCTAAGTTGTTCTTGATAATGGAAAACTTTGAAGTATAGAGTTTTGAAATCAGAAAGAGGGCACCTACCTATTTGGATCTTCCCTATACTTTGTAGGGACTTCAAAGTAGGAATCTGGAATATCGTCTCTAAATGCAAACTCTTGGAATGTAATTTTTGCTGAGACTGTTGGCAAGATTGGGATATCTGGAAAGTGATGACATATGTTAATTAATCTTTTACATCACCTCATCTGTGTTTATCTATCTTTCCTTTCTAATAGAGACCTTTTACATACATAATACATCATTAACCCCTTAGATCTGGTTTCATCATGGCAATCACATGACAAAAAATCTGGCCATTAGGTGAGTGGACGCCCTGCTTGGTATGTGGCTTGTAGGCCAGATGCACACGAATAGGTGTGTGTGGTGATAAGACTCTATGCCTATTTTTATGCACAACAAAAACAAATATAACAATTTGTTCTTTGTGTTACTTTAAATTTTTTTTCATAATATTCAATTTTCTGTAATACAAACTGCATAACCGGTCACAGCACCAGGAATACAATGCTGAGCACAGAAAATGGCATCGTCCGTGGTGCCAGCGCTCTTCCAGCCACAGCTCATGGACATTACAGTCTGCCCTTGTCCACTGATGGGAATAATGCTAGATTGCAAATAATAACCTCCCAAGAGGTTTGTGCACTTGTATGAGGCCTTCCTATCACCCCAGCCTACAGCCAACATGCTCACAATGGCAGGTTCATGTCACCTAGCCTACAGCCAGATTATTATTGACATTATAATTATTATAATACTGACATTACTAATTAGAATGGAAGATAAAAGAAAACATTTCTAAAAATCAATTAAACAGTAAAAAGGCGAGATACGTATTAGAAGTAACTGGCTCCTAGGTGAACAATTACTTGAAGAGCCAATTGTATAGAAAATTAATAATCTAAACTCACAGTGGGCATGGCATATACTTACATGCCATCCCAGGCAACATCAGGTTAAAGTGACCAGGGCAGAGACAGCTAACCAACTCACTTACAAGTTTATGATACAGGAACGTAAAATAGAAATAACCTCTAATGCACTACATTTTAGCAATGAATCAAATCATCTAATCAATTTCATTACATCATGAGAGGCTAACAATTCAGAACGTTTTCCTGTTGATTTAGGTCCCTAAGAATAACAAAGTCTCTCAAAAAAAATTATATAAAGGGTATTTAATAGCAACTCTTTTTATTCATCTGAACCCCTTCTGCATCATTTAGAAACTTTCACAATGACTTAAAAACACAAATCTTTACCAATTTTGACCGGGAAACCTGAGGGGAGTTTCATCTGGACAAATTCCCTCAGCTTTGCAAAGTGCTTGAAGGGAGCAATAACTTCCAAGACATTCAAGAGCATCTCAACTGTAAGAGGGAATTCTTCACTCTGTAAGTAAAGAGAAAACATTTTTCTTTTATGAACATAGCATTTTTTATTTGGATTATTCCTATCATTCTTATTAGTAATAATTGGCAATAATGACTTCTTGTAATTTTTTATAAAAATAATAAAAGAAACAGTGATATAACAATAATAACAATTATAACATTAATAACAGGATATATCGTTACAGCACCCAAACACAAAATAAACATAGTGAAGATAATATAAGAAACTTACCATTGCTACTGTAGCTTTAAAGGACTTTGAAGACTCCTTGCAAATGAGCATTCGTCCTAGTGGAGGCGGTTTCCCTGCTTCTGCTTCAATATACGTCTCCCACGACACTGGCTCGTTTGTAGGGGGTTCTAAGGATGCTCGTCTGACAGTCTGTGAACAGCACGATTCCTTACGGTTGAGATGATGATGATGATACTACCAAGCCAGATGTATACACTTTGAAAAAGCATGAAAATCAAGTAAAAAATGCAGGATGTGAGGGAAGGGGGATTAAGAACATTTTTGATAATTATAAATGCAAGAGAGTAAAAGAAATGAAGGAAAAATGAACAAATCAAAGAATCAGACCTCATCAAACGAGTGTGTTCCACTGCCTTTTGTGAAGCTCTCCATGATGGCTTTGTTCTTCTGCAAATCTTCCTCGCTTAAATGTTCTCTTCTTTTCCGAGATTCTATCGTCAACCCATTTAGGTAATAAAAATCGGCATTAAACTTGCCAACCATTTCCTGAAAATTATGCAATAAATCAATAACTAATGGTCACACTTTATATCAACATGTTTTCTTTTACTAAGTTAATAACTATTTATAAAAAAAAGAAACTGATAAGAAGAGTATTTGTGTTGCATGCAATCCTTATTCATAAAAATAAAGCACATGAAGAAATATATATAAAAAGAGTAGTCTTTAAAGAATATAACTAGACATTGAAAAAAATGGATAAAACAGAATATTTCTTTTCCATTTCTATTGCTAATCAATTGAATCATTTTAATCAATTCTATTTCAAATGAATCTTAACTTATATATGTGAAACACAATCAAAACATGCAATTTTCCATTACTACTGAACACAACTTTACATCAGGAACTCAAAGTGAACCACCTATTAATATTCACACAATAGTAAACAATAATATACAATATACATATACAATAGTAAACTAAAACCAAACAAACAAACAAAAACTGACTGAGGGCTAGGTGATAGGAACATACAGTCATGAAAAATATATTGTACCAGTTAATGACAGTTAATGACCTACCTTTTTGTCTGCTCTGAATATCCAACCTGTCTGAGCTCTAGAAAAGGTGATTTGCTTTGTCGACATTTGTGCTGCCACAATATCTGAACTCATGAGAATGTCCACCTCGTCTTCCATTTCTGCCTCTGTTTCCTGTGTTGGATAAAAAGAAAATGTTTTCTGATTTTACCTTCTTTACCATGTCATAAGTTCCTTTAACATTCTAGCAACACAAATTTGTTGTTTTCATTCAAACGATAAAAAAAATAAAGAAAATGTGTACCAAAACTAGGAACATTAAACCACTGGATCCTGGTGATGTGACTTGTCATGTAAAAAAAAAATAATAATAATAATAAAAAAAATAATAATAAATAAATAAATTAATTAATAAAAAATAAAAAAAAATGACTGGCTGACTGACTGACTGACTGAGGGCTAGGTGACAGGAACATATGGTATTGAAAAAAAAAAAAAAAAAAAAAGACTTAGGACTGGGGTGACAGGTATGTACAGTCATGAAAATATATACTCTAGGCCTGATGGATGGAGGAAGATTAGACTTAGTATGCACTTAGGAAGGGACTATTCCACTATTTCCACCTATAGACGAGGGTGGAATGTACCACCCATGCCCATAAATAACAGTATTTTACCTAGTCATTGTTATGTTAATGCACAGACTAACAAAAGAAATAATATGGAGTCAGATCAAGGAAACCCGTCTATTACCATCTTTATAGAGCATAACAAATAATACACATAGACCTTGGAAAATGATCTAAAAAATACAAAAAAGTTTACACAGAAAAAACACAAACAGTACAAAAGGGAAACAATGAATCCTGATTTGTATAACATGGGCCTGGCCTACAAGCCACACACCCAGGGGAGGCTACCATCAAGCACGCATACAGCTCGGATTTTGGTCCAATGCAGGCCATAAGGTATCTGGATCCAATGGATTAATAAACTCTGGTCACAAGCTTGCATACATACAAGATAATAATAGTAAGGGGAGCAACCCTAATACTAATAATAGTAAAAAAAAAATAAATAAATAAATAAAAATTAATGATAAATAAATAAATAAAAAAAAAAAATAATAAATAAATAAAAAAATAAAAATAATGACAACTATAATAATAATAATAATGACATCAATAATGATGATGATTATTAATAATGACAATTAATAATAATAATAATAATAATAATAATAATAATAATAATAACAATAAAAGAAAAAAATGGCTGATCCTATTTCCCAGTGGATGTTGAGGACATGTTTATAAAGGAATAGATGTACTAAGCCACAGAGTGATGTGGTAAAGTGGCCGGCCAGTCCCATGCCATCCCAACTTTGACCCCAGCATGCTGATGTCAGCATGCCAGTACTCACTCACAGCCGGGATGACTGAGAGGGGCAACCAAGCACGAACCCTGGAACTTGCAATTGCTAACCCTGCACTCTACCACTGAGCTGTGCCACCTCTCAACAATATCAATAATAATAATAGTAATAGACTAATAATATCTATAACAATAACAATAACAATAATAATAATAATAACAATAATAATAATAACAGTGGGAACAACAGTGATAATAACAAAATCAATAACAATTATCTTAATAATAACCAAATTAATATAAAGTCTAACAGTAGTAATAAGAACTACAATCATTACACAAACAGCCTAAAAGTTTGCTGTGGATTAGGGAAAAGAGCTATAAACGATTATACTAAAAGCAACATAAAGAAAGATTACTGACAAAACACAATAATAAACAATAGAAAGAGAGACAGAGAGAGAGAGAGAGAGAGTGGGATGAAAGTAAAAAAAAAAAAAAAATAAATAAATAAATAAACAACTATAAACATTCTTACTAACCTCATGCCGAATATTCTGATATACTTTAAGTTTGTTGTCAAGTACAGTTAGTGAGTGTGATGGTTTGGAACTGCCAGAAAACAAGAAGCTGATGTCTCCTCTCTCCCATCGCATATCATTAAAATCCACAAGTGTAGTGTCCAAGCGAATAGCGGCTCCCTTTTTGTGGATTTTACAAATATCGGACGGTAGCATCCTGGACACAAGCGGAACTGCAACACATCGGACACCGGTCTTAAGCATTTTTCTTTCTTTCTTTCTTTCTCTTTTTGATATGAAAGCAATGGACTGCTTTGAAAAGGAGAGTACCTAAAGAAATTGATTTGGTAAATAATATTCAGTAAATGATAAGCAGAAGTAAAAACTAAAAGAAAGAGGGAGGTGAAAAAGAAAAGAAAAGAAAAAAATTGTATGTTAAATCTTGCTCAAATTCTATACATCAATTACAAGATCAATATATTGAAGACGTCTGCTGCACAACCCTTAAGTTAAAGCAACGTAAGGGGAAAAGCCTTCAGTTTCTGGGTTTCAAATGTAAAAGAAAATGAAAATAATAAACTGAAAATGAAATCTTAAAATGCAAAAGAAGAAAGGAAATGCCTAATACACCATGACCAACTCTAGACAAAAATGATCTGTCCAAACTACATGTTGCTCGTCAGCAAGGGCCTACTAACAACAATCAAAGCAAACACATTACCATGAAAAATCACACTTAATAAATCATACTACTTTGAAAAACAAGATCAATATATTAATTCATAACTGCAATAAAACTCCATAAAATAGTCTGCACGGACAATTACAAAAA